CAAAATCAAACAATTTTCATATGAAACATTTTTTAGTATTTGCAATAGTTAAGGATATAATAGCTTGTAAACCGATAAACAGGACATGCTATATATATATACATATTCAATAATATTAATAATTAAAATATTCTTTTGATAATAAAAATACAGTTTTCTTACAAAATTATTTTCTCCACCCCACTTATTAAAATTACCTTTAATTAATATATTCAAATAGTTCATAGAGTGTTTTATACAGAATCTCATAAAGTACTTCTGAATAAATGTGAATAATATAGTTCACAACATACATGTATAAAACCATATAAATCATCACCATATAATCAAGTACAAAAAATCATCGAAAACATAGAACACAGAAAAGAAATTTGTTAATAAAATATAGTTAATAAAATATTGTTAAGTGTTGTTAATAAAATAAGCATTGTAGTAAGAATGTGTTTCTAAGATATTTTGTTTGGAAATTTGTATATTTTTATTATCACTTTGTCAATAACTATAATAATTATTACTCAATGCAATAAAAATACATGATTTAAATATATATTTTACAGTTATAATAAATTTTCAATAGATTTAAATACAAGAGATATGTTGAAATTCAGATGAGGAAATCTCTAACAAATTATTGGAGTTTTTATAACACATGTAATATAAGTTAATAATTAATATGATATTTTGAATTATAATATGTAAGTATGTAAGTACAGAATAAAATTGAATGTAAAAATTATCTCTACTCTGTGCGTGTAGGTGTGTGCGTACGTGCGTGCATGCGTGCGTGCATGCGTGCGTGCGCGCGCGTGTGTGTTGTGTGTGATTTCTAATATTATTATTGTTTTTACACTTGTAAATACAAAATGAGAATTTGGAATAATATCTCAATTATGAGAAATAGTTAAATTTCACAGAATCATAACCTAGAAAACAAAGAAACAAATCGACCTGGTTTCCATATATCCGTTAAGAAATTAAAATAATAAATTAAAAGTAAACACGCGCACTAGAAATACACATATTACTATGTATAATAAAATATATTTACAATTCAACATCGAAACGTGCGAAGTAAATGACGGTAGAACTGTTTGAGAATTTTACCATAACCTTATTTCAAAATTTCAATTATCTTAAGCAAAAATTATAATGAAATAGCACTAAGAACATTTACATTTTGCTATGTTATAAAGCTATTTTATTGTCAATTTCATATAAAAAACATGCGGAATTACCGACTTGAATATGAATCGACGTCTAGTGCACACGTTATAAATTTTTTATTAAATTGACAACCATGATACTTACAGTTGTTTGTGGAAGAAGAAATAAATACACAATCCCGAATTCGGCAGTAGTAAATACTCCTTAGATTGTATTCTAGTTATTTCGCTATAGTTCGCGCAAGTAAATAACAATTCCAATTCGCCATTTTACGTTACCGTTTACGTGAAAGAATCGCAAAGCAACCGATAGACCGCAAAAGATTACGCCACTGCGTCACTGAAGTAGAATTTCCGGGTCCGGTTTTCTAAAACATTAACGGCGCGAAATTTGGTATGTTATGCCAACTACAGTTTTTGTGAGATGCCAATACAACGTATACTTAATTTGTGTTCATTATTTAGTGATACAGTCGTTATATTGTTAAAATCTTACTTGATTCACGCATATAAATAGAGTTAATAATGAATATAGGTAATAATTCTCAAACCTTTCTAATGGAAATTTCTTAAAAGTTTATAATAAATTTCACGTTATAATACTACAATTTGTTACAAACGATTTATTTTTTAGATTTTAATATCTTTAGAGAAAATGAATTGTAAGATAAATATATTGTTCATGTTTTTAAATTTACAAGGAACTAGGAAGTAAAATTCACAGATAAAATGTATTTAAATGTAATTAGAAATTTAATACAAATTATAGATTATATTTATTCTACTTCTATAATTATGAAATTTTACATATTAATATTTAGAATTTATAAGTATAACAACAAATTTGCGTATATCTCATTTACTTTTTTATTAAATTAAAATTTTACATTTTATACAAGTTTCCAGATTTATTTTAGAAATACTATATTTGTCTGATCTAAAACAGTATAATATTGTTTTTATAAATATTCGATTTATTTAAAAAGATGATTACACAGAAACGAATTCAGAGTATATTAAAACATACTCTGTGTTAAATTTTAAGAATTAAATCTAATATTCAGTCATGTATTCAATATATCCTCTATATTTCATACTTGTCCTATGTGCCCTGCTATTAACATTATCACGCAATACAGGAATTATCCTCTGTCCACTTTGTTGTAACGTATAAGTATTAAATGGGGAAAAGATTTCAACTGTAGGTGTTGTTCCTTTTTTACTATCGAAAAGAGGTAGTTGATTCCGTGTGTTATTTTCAATTACGGTATAACAATATGCCAATTGATATATTCGTGTAATTTCTGCAAAACTATGCGCAATTTCAGGATGACAAGCTTTCAATGGGTTTAGTTTACAAGTTATAATTTTCGCTAAATCCAACTCTTGTAAATATAACATGTCTGAAAGCAAATAAACAAATAATATCGAACGTTAATAGAATTAAGAAAAGATGTATATATTGTTTCATTAAAATGATGTATTTACATTTTTTTGAATCAGGATAATCATTATGCCTTTTAATAATTATAAGAAACAGTGCTTCACAAACAGAATAAAATACACTGTGTTCTTTATTTCCATCCTCTATATAGTTTGAATGATCCTGCATGTTGATATAATCATGTATCCATTTGGATATTTCAAATTGGACTGCTTTTACTAACCTAATAAAAATAAAATATATAAAATCTTTATGTATACCTTTTGTATTATGTGTTACATTATTAAAAACATACCCAGTTGTAACGAATGTTGCTGCAGCAAGTAAACTAGCAATATATACTACAGACGATTGTCGTATAATAGAGGGTACATTAGGATTGGATGCTTTCTGCCATAACCAATCTACAAAAGCCTCCGCAACAGCTGTTTTAAAACTACAAATATAGAACATAATATACTGCACATATTGACTCGCATGAGTGGGTAATATTACTGTTTCAAATATTTTCAATATATCAAAATAGAGACTTCTTAAACATTCCACTTGCAAAACTCCGTTAATAAAACAACAGTTGTACATATATTTTAGGATCAGTTCCATACACATATCCAATTTATGAGCTATTGGATGTACTTCATCTGTTTCTGTTATATTATTTTCTTCAACAACATTATTCACATTACCAAGTATACTGTCACATTCACTAGCATCGTCCATTAAGTCTTCATCTTCTTCATTTTCTATCTCTAAACGTGGTATATTTACATCTAATACCATTAACCTATTATGAAACAGAAATCACTTACAATAAAGAACTTACTTTTCATCCTAAAATGATAAAATTAGATTACAGCGATATTACCTGTTAATAATTAGAGATAGAATATCAGATCGTAACTGTGGTGCGTAACTTAATATTTGAATCAATGCATAAACATAAACTTCATGCGTACGAGTTCCATGAACAATATATGGGAACCTTGCTCTAAGAGATTGCAATAGAAGTTTGCTTGACCTTAAACAGATTTTTATAGAAATTATTATATTTTTAAATTTTACTTATGAATTATATACATACATTATTTATAAGAGAGAGGGGGGGGGAAGAGCATATTTTATAAAATACTAAAAATGATATAGTAAATACTTACATTGGCACAACTTTCAAAATTTTTTGAAGGACATTATGTATATGATTTAATCTTTGAATATCTTCTTCTTTGCATTTTTCATTTTTCCATTCATCATCGTTATCCTCATCTATGTAAAATAAAAATTTTAGTTATAATCCATCGTTAGAGCCACTTATATAACAATAATTTCTTAAAATATACCTGGTTTAAATTGTTCAACTAAACTGTCTATTGTATTTTTAGCATAATGAATTTGCATACAAATTAAATCTTCAATAAATGCTTTGTAAGCAGATGTGACATCTATAGAACGGTTTGTCCATTTTATTTGTAGAAGCGTTTCTACAAATACTTTGTGGATAGGACCAAGTAATGATATACATTGTCTTACATTTGATAAAAATTCTATTAAATCTGTGTCCTAAATTGAAAAGTAATAGATTCAAATTAGAAATATCGAATAATATTTAATCGAATAAAACTAGGATAATATAAACTATTTCAATAATTACTTAAATACCTTTATATTTGAATCTCGTAGAATACATATTAAATCTTCATAATCTTTTGTTCCATTACCAGCTTCAAAATTATAGATAATACTTTTGAGATTTTTTGGAAGTTTGAAATGTACTCTATTAGATTGTCTAATAAGTTGTGATCTAACTCCAGGAGATTTTAGAATCGACGAGACACTACTAACCCTTGAAGATACAACTGACATCTGTTGAAAAATAATATATTTATCGTTTAAGGTAATTTATCTAAAACATAATTCTAATATCACAAAATATACTAATATTAAAACTGTTAAAAAACACTATGTAATGCTTATAATATTTATTAAAACTACCAAGCACACGTATGCAAAAAGGTAAAGAGGTTATGATATATGGTAGCAGAAAATTTGAACGATACTTACTTTTACAATTATATTTATAACTTTCTAATGTGATAATACTTTTAATAATTTCAAATCATACATCTGTTTACATTTCGAACTTGTATTACTGTATAAATATCACTAAGTATTCTCACTCGCTTTTTCTTCCTACATGTGACTGGACAACCGCTTCCACTGAATACGTACCATTGATTAAGTACAAGATAGACCTGATATTCAATACGTTTTCATCTCCCGTGTTTTTGGAGCTACTTGACCATCTTATAATTTTCGTGTTGTATGCGACATTATCGATTAGGTATAGTAGTGGAATGTATATGATAATTCACCATAACAAATCACAGAGGGCATAAGAAACACAGGACAGAAACGTTGGACAGGAAGTTCGATATTCTGTATCTGCCTATGTTATGTACATATGCGTATGCTTATGCGAAATGTACATATATATTTACTTTGTCGTGTACTATTTGGTCGTGTCTACTTTATCCTTAGTCGTAATTATTAATGTTATGTAAGTAGTAGCTACATGACTACGTCATTCTTTTTTATCCACGTTAAATTGATTTTAAAAAAGATTATTTTAACTGGAAACATTGAATAATTAATTTTTTTAAGGGGTGCAAATAGATACTTATCCGTTTTGTATCAAATTTTTATAAAATTCGTAGGAAAATAAAAAGGAAATATATTATCAAGTAAATATCATTACACACTAAAAAAAAAAAAAGAAAAAATATCTTTTTTAACGATTAAAAGTTTAAAAATGTGTTACATTTCTATAACAGAACAGAAAAATGTATTCAATAATAAAATATAACGTAATCATTTTGGTTACATTTGGGTAAGTATAATGCAAATAATTAATTACACCAACCAATTTATAAATGCAACACAGTGGGCATGTTAAAATACTATAACTAAGAACAAGTCATATTCTGTATTTTTACCACCATTATTATAGTAGAAAAAAAATATATATATATTATATTTTTATATATTAAATATATATATATATATTATATTTTTTCTACTATATTATACTTTTCTACTATATATATATATATATATATATATATATATATTAAAATCACATGATTGGGATTTTTGAAGTAATGAAAAGTAACAATTAAGAGTAATTACAAAGTGATCACAAATTAATCGCAAGCATTGCGATACTCTATAACATCATTGCACCATATGTATAATCACCATATTAAACGATTATAATTATCATAATGAAGTGAACATAACTGTTCGAAAGCAATTTTCATTTCTTTTACGAACATTTTGTAGACGTTTTTAAAATGTAGGTTGTTACATTTGTCATTCGATCTTTCGGTGTTGCGTCTTATACATGTTTTATGTTATGCATTATGTTATATTATATCCTCAGTTTAAGTCAGAAAATATTCAAATTTAAAACTACGCCCCGTGCTATTCGGAAAATTGCACGATTTTACTAACGATATAATGTAATCACAAACCAATTCATTTTTTATTACTTATGTCAAGGATTAAACTATTGTAGCTAGTCTTTTTGTTGTTCTAACAAGGTGGTCAGAGTTTTGTCCATACATTCTGGTAAATGATCCAATAACATCCGTGGCATCACAACTAATTCCGTAAATTCTTCTGGTTGTGCCCATCGCATCTCGAATTTCTTTTCTTTCTTATTTTGATTCTTGCTGCAAGAGAAAATGTAATATACAGTTAATTATTCGGCGTTTCGAAAATATTCTTCAACTTTGCATAAACTCAATAGATAAGTACCAGTATTATAAATAAATGTGCATGGAGAAAATAAATAATAGGTAAAATATGAAATAAGTAACAAACCTGTTTTTTGATTGTTCGGGTTTACATTTGGTTATGTGAAGTATTCTACCACCTATGTATAATTTTACTTTAGAATATCTCCTTTTTGAAATATCTCGCTCGTAAATCCTACTTTCCTATAATATAAATCATTTTTTTTTTCTTTTTTTAGAATATAGTATTATAACGCAAATTAGGTTTTATACGTGGATAAACGAGGAAATGAATAATTTAAATTATATGGTCACGTATGTAAGTATATACCTCTATTGTATTTATATCTCGGTCGTTAAGTAAAGGTGTTTCTCCCGATACAGTGGTAATCATATTATAGGCATTCCATATATTTTCAAGGTCTTTCTCAGGAATGCCGAATAAAATGTAACCTAATCCGTTTAATACTACTCTATACTGCAACAATAATATTAAAGAAATAAAATTTAAAATATTTCAGATAGTATACGCTAAAATAGACATGTCAGAGTCTAAAATATTCGAAATAGGATAAAGATCGCACCTTAGGTAATGGGCAAACACGAAGTGCCATAAGCAAAGACGTTCGAAGATTTTCTATGCTATCAACACTCAGCCTCATTACTAAGTCATCTCCAATGCCTACTGTGAAAACGAATTCCTCCGTTACTCTGGCAAGATCCCTTGAGAGAAGACCCGCTAAACAAAAAGTTTTTCTTAGTAAAGGTTCTTTAATAATAATTATTATTAATTAAAAAAATTAACCATATAAAGAGGAAGAATCAAAGTTTCTGAAGAATCCGTACCTGGCGTGGAAAATCCATAGACTTTCAGTGATGGATATCGTGGACGTAGTAAAAATCCTAACAGAATACCTATACCAGCACCTAGACTGTGACCTGCACATATTGTCTTACATGAAATTGTTAAAAGATTGTCTTAAACATATAGATAAAACTTTATCAGTAAAATTAGATATCTCTAAATTTCGTTTTAAATTGTTTGTTAAATACTTAAAAAGTATCTATTATTTTGGCATGATGGCATTTTTAAGAAATTATATCTTTCTAATTGAAATAAATTGTTTCGTAATCGTTCAAAGAATGACCATGTATGTCTCTAAGATGACTAACGAGAAAGATACAAATAAGTAAATTGCGAGTCATTTGTTATCTATACACGAAGATCATCTATCTATACACGATCAATATCTATACACGAAATATAGAGATCTGCTCAATTCTATACAGATTTTATTTCCTTTTTTATTTATTTTGTACGTAATTTAATAATCTCGTAATGTACAATGCATATATCATTCTAACATTTTGTCTACATAATTAGAATATTTGATACCTCGAAAATACGATTGTTTTCAATTTATCGTTTCTCATGTCAACAAACATTTTATCGTGCGACCGAAAAGAGTAAGACAAAAAAAGTATTCGTAACATAAAATTGAAAACATTTAAATATTATAGAGACTAATACGTGTAAACCTATAAGCAACATTTTCTAGCGCACATATAGCATTTCTATTTACCTGTAATAACCAAATCGTAATGAGGATATGTATTGAATGCTCGTTCTAAAACCTTGTTATCATCTAATTTCTTCAAAATCAGCCTAGCACCCGTTATCATGCCACTGTGTGCCTATACACGTAACATTTCACGATTATGAATAATTTAAAAGGAAACATAACTTAAACTCAGCGTACAATTTTCTTTGTAAATAGTACGATTAAAGCTATTCTTATTGTTAGTTTCATATTGGACTTAGGATACTTACATGGCTGTTTGATGGAACACCTTCGCATACAAAAACATTAGAACCTGCGGCAAAATCAGTTATCAAATCACGCATCGAGAGACTACCCCGTACAATAATGACAATGTTATTTTTTTTCTGATCTGCTATTACACAGAACGGTATCTAAAAAGTATTTTATAAAAACGATTAAAAAAGCTGTTTCTTTATTGAATATATAAGTATATAATACACTTCCTTAATACCAACCTCGCATAAATAGTTTTTAAATGACGCATACAGGATGTCATCCGTTGATAAATCTGATAAAGTTTTCATTCCGGCTAAATAACAGTAGCAACAATTGTCGCCAATAATTGGAATACGTTTTGTTCTGTAGTTACAATGAATTGATCAACATAGGGTCTCATAATATTAGTTAAAGTAGTACATGTTTTATACTTAATTTCTTTTCTTAAAGCGCGGTATAATATCGTTTCTATATCGCAATATATTATTTAAAATAATATTCTACTGAATCGTATTTCAAATTTGAGTCTATTCTTCTTCTATTTTATTTAATATTCTCCTAATTGATCTCCTACTTACCGAAAACAGGTGCAACAAGTCAAATTCGGCAGAATATGAAAACACCCGGTGCATATATGCAAGTACATAACAAATAACCATCCGTAAGCAGCTAATGAGAGTTTTATATAGTAAGCCGCGTTCTCTAAAGACATCCAACTTGGTACATTTCTAAAAATTGCAGTTGCATCTAGAACAATAACATTAAGATCGTTTATATTATTTGTAGAGTTTCGAAAGAATATAATTAACTCTTTAGTTACATGAATTCCCGCGAATTAAAATCAGAAAAAATGTTAGAAAATTTTGGAGGAGAATTATAATAATTAAAATATATACCGGAAGTATATTTTGGAGCAGGAAGAATATTTAACCGGCGCAATTCACGAGTTTCTCGCTTTTGCCGAATTCTTAGCAGGATACATCCTGCGATAATATCTGAAGGAACTAAATCTGTTCCCTGGTACAGAGAGCTTAGCAAACCTATAAAAAAAGCAATAATTTCTTTATCATGTCAAAATTACCCCTATGACAGACGATAAATATAAGATTGAAAATCTTGTTGCAAATATAGTCTATAAAAAAAAATGTAAAATGTGTTAGGTGTTTGGTGAAGCGTTAAATATAGTCATATAGCAAATATAGTCAAAGATAGAGAGTTTGGTACGGAGAGGTGTGCGATAATGTTAAAGAATTACGTTGTTTACTGTATTTACAAGTTTGTAATATTGTCAGTAACAGAATCACGACGAAAGGAAATGCTGACAAACTGTGTTAGATTCCACGAAGATTATAGATATATTTCTTTCTATCAGTAGCTATAATTGTTTAGTAAAAGAGAGAAGATTTAATTTCTATACATATATTAAGACGTACATTGTAGGCATTTATTTATGCACATTTACCCTCCGGAAAAAAGTTCTGCCTTTCAAAAGTTCAGCATAAACAGAAAGAGATCAACGCCGCGAATTGCAAATATCGTGATACACGAAACGTGTGCGTTGCGCACGGTACATCAAATTATTTTTACTATCCTGCAGTTGTCACGTTTAATTCGTTATATATATATAATTCATTACATGCCATAAGGCACAAGCAGATTTTACTTTTTCACACCAGTTCGTAAGGATGTGTACGTAGAAGTTTAACTACTGATATATATATATATATGTTATGTGTGTAGATAGGAGTTCAAAATCTCTGTTAAGAAACTATTTATATATGCAAAGTACGTATTTTATCAATGTGTACAAAAAATTATCGCCAATATTTACACTAATCAACGACCTTCTATCCTCTTCCATTTGGTGTAGCTCTTGTCTTGACTTTTTACTTTTATGTATTACAAGTTGATACAAGTTTAGGCCAAATCTCCGTTCGTTTAGTTTAATCTTTTTTCCGGCGTTGAAAGCTTTCTTTTAAAAAATATATGACGAAGAAATGACGGTTTCGATTTCAATCACGACAGAACCTTTTTTAGGCCAGTCGTACCTATGTCTCACCAGCAACTTGTTGAAAAGTCTCGTTAGCGTTCTCGTCTTTTCTCATCCACCAGAGAAACTTGAATCTCCGTTGCCAGTTCCTTGAGAGTTTGCCATATTCGACAGAACTTTCTAAATGTTTGTTACTTAATAAGCCTAATGGATCAAAGATCAATGCCAAGCCGAAAATGGTTAGACCTATAAGAATCCAGTCGAAGAACACTAACGCCTGGGTTATCATGATCGTGTAATGTTCATAAGTACATTTGACGTTTGATCCAAACAACCATAAACTTCCTAAAATATTCCATGATATCTCAGGCAGGAGGAACAATATTCTGTAAAATCATAATAATATCTTTATTATAATTTTAGAAAAGGGACATCAATTTTGGGAAGAACGCGCTCTTGCAGAATTCTTTTACGCGTATACAAGGTGTCTCAAGACGAATGATACAATACCGATCAGAAAATTGTTTTACCAACAAAGATGAATTGAAAACGTAGAATGAAAGTTTTGCATTTGAAAGCTACTTTGTAAGAAAATTCAGTTCGAAATGATACTCATCGATACTTTGTAAACGACTGAACCGTTATAGGAGATGTATTGTACTTGTTAATGGGTCAAGAGTTACGAAAATTTGTCAAACTCGACTGCCCGCAGAAAAGATTCTTTGTAAAAAAAAAAAAGAAAAAGGTTTGAACACCGAATAAAAGAAAATTACGAATGGAAAAATGTTATTCGTAGAATCGTATTTCCTATTCAATTGTATAATTCTTTATAAAACATCCTGCATATTAGAACATCTGCCTTTTGAATTTAGCGGCAAGTAAAAGATTCACTAATTATTAAGATTATTTGCGCGATAAAACTTTATACTATTCGTATTAATTTGAAGTTGGATTTAGAATTTCTGGAATAACGTTGAGATCTCTACAACACGTGCAAATTTTATATCTTCGCGCTAAGATATTACAGTCAAGTTTTATCGAATTGCTACAAACAACGAACCCATCAAAGATAATCTTATCGCAATAATAAATTATACGTGATGATAATCTCGCGTTGTAACATTCAGAAATGGTGTATATTACAGTACCTATCAATTGTTACTAGTGTACGTTAATAAAGTATGATGCATCAGTACTAAAAAGTGAAAAGAGTTGACGTCAATAGACATGGCAAACGGAATTCATTTTATATAGCAATTCGTTAATTGCCTATACATAATTATGGATAAATGGCGCCGTTTATGATCGATGATAGTAGTTGAAGTTTGTACTTGCAATTAGAAAATTAATAATAGGAATGATAAAAGTATAAAGTAGTTCGTGAAGCGATGCATGTCAGAACGAAGAACATTGTTTTATTTCAGCGGTATTTTATAATGAATGGCGTTGTTCGTCAACGATATGTAAATTGCAGTATAATTTTCAAACGTCTACTTACTTAACTGTCAAGAATGGTTCAACGTATTTACGAGCGTGCGTTTCCATGATAGATCCTTTTGCGCTCAGTCTTATAATGATGAGCATGAAAAGTATAGACACGACAAGAAATGCAACCTCTCCTAAGAGATACACGCGAACTAACTCTCCGCCTAACTGACAACTCCATGTATGCTCATAATATCTGACACAAACGGTTACAATTAGGGATAACCTGTGAACAGAGTTAATTACGTAAGGATTAAGATTTATTCAGATTTGTTTAATAAACAAAGAAACTCTTCTTAGCGGTAAGGATAATTATTTAGGGATGTTAATTAAGGATAATTATCCGGAATTGTTGGGAATTTTACTCGGGATCGGATTAGGAACCCGAAGGTTTGTAACGTTCGGATACCTGCGGTCTCGTATCTTTTATTATAGTCAAATAGTGAAAATCATTCTGAAGCTAAAGGTTTAGGTACAAAATCTGATAGCGAAATTAAGAAAAGGCATCTTACTTATGCGCATGTTAGGTACGCGCACGCTCCTAGCAAACATTATCTTTTATATTTGTAGCATACTTAATGTACATACGATTCATTTTCAAATTTTTCAACGATCTGTGAACGATATGCGACATGTGAAGGTAAAGATTTGAAAGAAGTTCTGTTTCTGTTTCTAAACATCTTACAATGTATGTAGTTAAGCCTTTTTTTTTATTATTCGTAAACGTGATCCATTGATTTAACCATTCTGCAAGAAGTTTTAAAAGGAATTTTACTATGTATTAGTGACATGTAAAATACCATAATTTATTTCAACAAATAAGAAATATGATTATATTATCCTTAATTTAAGTCTATAATTTAATATAGAATTTATAAAATCAAAATACGAATAAAAACGAGAGACGATTAGTTATTTACAAAACACGAAACTATTTCTTGGATAATTCTACCTATGTACAATGTATTACGTACATTTTCGTCATCTTCCTGGAATAATCGAGAAGGTTTAAATAATGTTATATGTGTAGATACACATATTATTTAACCGACTAACCATAGCTCTATAAATATGTACTATGGGTGACTTGCGAGTCTCCAGTTCGTCAAAATTCTATAATGATCGTAAAATTTGCATAAACACAGAATAAGGAGGTAATCGAGTAAAATGTATAAATATAGAAAGGATCGGTTCCTTATGCTTCGGTGGAATAGAATTATTAGATCGTCATTTCTGCCAAGGGTACACGTCAAACTTAAGTTAAATTATCTGATATTAAAATTCTGAATGTCGTTAGTTTGATTATTCCTACTCTCCACTTTTTTGTTATTTCGCTATTTTTACATATTATTTTTTCCAAAACACCTTATTATTTTTTCCGCACAGCTGTGCTATTGTAAGATATCGCGTTACGCAAATTTCATGTGTATAGTTCTTAAAAACTCATATCATTGCGTATAAATTTGAATTTGCACGAAAAAGAGAAGAAAATACATATTTATATGTTTCATTGATTCTTAATCAACGAGATTTTGAAACAACCCGATAAAAGATTTCAAAAGCTGAACTTATAAGTTATACATTTTATTTTCGAGGCGTGATATAAGATTATTAAATTTAACGCCATGCCTCGAGAGCAATGTTATGACCCTGTTTACTGTACTTTTAATCATTTAAAACCATTATTTCTTTGCATGTTGGCATCGATTTACAATGTATGATATTTTAAGTAAAATACGTCGATCAATTGAAGCTTTAAAGACTATGTGGAGTCTATACAATCTCTAGCAATGTTCCACGTAGGATGAAATTCTCAAGATTCTAGCGTTGAAACTGAAAGAAGACGAACTACTTACCAAATGGATCGAATGAAAATTTCAAAGATACCCGGATAAACAAGGTCGTCGCTCGCAGCTAGCCATGTTCTGCCGAACAGTTTTATCGCAGGCATTTTTCTGTGGAACATATCGCGATTTGTAAGATTATTTTCTTTATCGATGCTGATTGAATATTGTATCGCGTAAAACATATGTCGAAAAGGAATAGATGAACGAAGTGATACGCGTTTGTTATTCTTGCGAGTTACTATCCATATAGCTGAACGAATAAACGTGTAATTTAATGTTTGGATCAACGTTTCATAATATACATAGCAGGTTCGAGCAGCATGCAATAGTGACCACGATGTTTTACGAGCATAAATTTTCATAGGATTTGGATAACCGAGTATACCGCGACGCACGTATTTCTTTGATAGTAAATTACGGATCAGAGAAAGCGCTGAGAGAAAGTCTTTGTCTATCCTACATCTGAGAGTATTGACATAACTTAAATGCGATCGTAACTGGACCCTGACCCTGTTGAACATCGAATCTTTGTTCCAAATTTTTTAGAGTTACCTGCACACGCTTCCGTTTAAAAAAGAGATTCGTCTTTCCTCCGTCGCGTGACGTTTCTTGTTTTCAATTCTATATTATTGATTCAGCACATTTTTTACATCGCGTTGCTTAATTAGATAGGATGACTATCTTTTCGATAAGGAAACATTGATTTAGCAACAACAGAAGATATTATATGCTCTATAAATTTTTACATTTTGCGATAGATCGAATCTATTTGTCGGTGATATAACGTGATCGAAATCGTAAGCTGTCCGTTGCAGACTTATATTTGTCAACGATTTTATAGTAACTCTTTGACATTGTTATAACTGGAATTTCACACCACACTAGTTACTAATTACACGCCTTATCATCGTACACGTTTCTTTAATAAACATGCTGAATCTTAAAATATTTATAATGCCAGATATAGTGTTTCTTTTATTATAGTATTTCTTCTAAGAATATACTCCGGAAACATCTTACGGTATATTCGATCTTCAAGTAATGTAACATTCTTTTTACACTCAATTATTATAGTTGGAATAAATAATTCTATTACATTTCGTACTTGCTTTCGTATCGTAAATGCTGACATGAATTTAAAATTGCGTAAAAACACTTTTTCATTACTCTGACAACATGTTATGTAGCAAAGTCTATACTCATACAGCAGCAAATAACCGTCGTTCAATTTTTTGTCTAATTTAAATACGTCGCTCTCGCGTGTAAAGCCTTGAGAAACAGGCATAATATCTTATTGGCGCAATAAATTGACGATACTATGCGCATTTCAGGAAACGATATAAAACGGAAGAAACGCTTAATCGATTGAGAAAATTCGAATTTTAAGATATATTCACCTTTTGGAGAAAAATTTGAATTTCAAGATATATTCGCTTCTCGAACAAAACGTCTCGGTATCTCAGTAGAATTTCGGATCATTCACAACATGCCACTTTTCCACAAGCACAATCAGTATTCGAGAGTATCGTCACCAACCTGGTACAGGATGCAGTCCGGTATTTACCGTTTTAGTTACTCGCGCGACGAGTTTTTGATTTCTTCTAATGAGGGAAAATATAAGACTCGCTTGCACTGACATCCATAGTCGTTCACGACCTAACCATCGATCACGATACGCCGATCCAGCGGCTCCAGTCGATCCAATGGTATCCAGCGTACGCGGAACGTGAGATAGTGTCGAAAGCCGCTGAGGTCAGTTCGCAAGGAATGTGACGCCTTGAGCGAATTTTCGTCTGGCTGTGAAGCTAGCGACGAATTAAAAGGAACTGGAGTCGAGCTCGTTTGGTAGAAAATTGCATCGGCTCGCGACACTGGATCGGCAAAATGCATATACAATACACTCCTAACCCGCTCACCTTGTTTCGTAGCATCCCGCGTCGAATCTCACGAGCTGGTTGGCGGTGACTGTCCAGCACGGCCACAACTTTCCCTTCGTTCCTCTCGATCACACGTTCCTTCGCTTACGAAAAAACCAATTGCTTCTCATGGGGATATACAGTAATGGTAGGAGTAGAGATATCCCTAGTATCCTGCGTTTGCAACAATCCGAGCACTTCGATTTTTCACTAAAACTGTGATTTATATTATATGATTTATAATTTATATTATATTCGACCTTTATAAATAAAATATGAAAAAGTTATAATACGTCCTGATTTCCGTGACCAGTATGGCGTAAATATATAGGAATATTTTATAAATACACATTTTCTTCGAACAATTCCATTGAATATATAATAACGTAACGTTATTAGGCACGATGTTTCTTTTTCCGATGACGCATGACTGTTCTTAGAACAAAGCATAAAACTTATCTTCGCTCTGTGCCTGCGTATGTGCATCGTATATCGTTTGATAAATTTTGTACTATTTCTTACCTGTATGAAATTTTCTGCGATATTAATATTAATATCTATCAGTATCAGTATCAGTATCGGTGCGACACCCTGATGAACTCAACTGCATTGTTATCGAAACATCGGAATTCTTTCCTTTCTGGACACGGCGGTTTCCCGGAAGCCTCAAACAGCGTTACACGAAACAGCGTTAATTGTATCAGTGTTAAGTGTAACAGTCTGAATACCATACCCAATAGGATAAAATATTTTTTCTCGAAAATAACTAGTATTCTAATAGAACAAAATAGAACATTTAACATTCTAGCGTACTTTCTTTGTCTCTCTTTTTTATGCTTTACACGTGAATTCGCTACAGCTACGGGATTTACACACGTTTAAAAGCATAACTGTCCTACTTGCGAGAAGGCCTTAAAATCCTCGTGGCGTTTTCATGTAAAGAAGATAAACGAAACCAACAAAGTTGCTTTTTTAAAATACTTTAATTTTATCTACCACTTTTTATTTTATTTATAGTTCCAAAAATAGAAGTCGTGCAAAAGTATTTTTGAAAGGTCAGAAATTTTGCATAAATGGTTTTGCGTAAAAACTCTTTAGTTTAGTGATATACGATATGCTTTTGCAAGAAAAAGTTTATAATGTTTTCTCAAAACTATAAATTCTTCTGAATTCTTTCCATTTCTGTGATAAAAGAATGCAGAAAAATATTTTCGAAAATATGAATGAATAATATAATAAAGTATGATGCAAGAAATAATAATTAATTTTAGTAAGCAATTTATATCTAGTTGGAGATTAAATGATATGATATAACATTTTCTGTACATATTGATTAAGTACCTATATACGAGAAATCCAGCATCCACTTACAAGCAATATTATATAAATTTTCATGTAAATTGATTCACGTAAATAAATGGTACTTGTAATTATCTTGTTTGTAAATTATCTATTGAAAATTCCGAACTGAGGAAAAAGCGTCAAAACATATGAATATTCTAAGATAAATTAACAAAATAAAAATACAATTTATTCTATAGCATGTCAGAAAACAAGGATTCAGGATGTAAATTATTTCTATTGTACAAGACATTGATTATAAGAAGTGTAAAAAATATTGAATTAAGATACAAGTTATAATCAACTTTTTGTGTAAGAGATTTATATATTTGCGTAGTATCATAAAAAACAACTTCCAACAAGGTAATTTAAAAAATTTACATATTCTTAAATATAGAGAATAAAGAATAGAGAAAAAAATAAAGAGTTTAATTATAGAAACGGAGATAAAAATATTATGCCATAACAGGATATTATCGTCTACCTACAAAGAAAATATGAATCAAGCCACGAAACTATACATTTTTCTACATAAAAGATGATTCTCCTTTCAATGTCTGACTACATAACATCCACATACGTATAAATAATTAATGAATATTTCAGTCGTTTAATTTTTTCCCTTTTTTCCGTCTCATATGCATATTTCGCTTTAACTACACTGATTGTCGTGCATGTATAAATTACACTCATTAACTATTCTTACTAATATTTTACTATATACGTTTATACGTATAGCCTGTAATATTGATTTGAACAAGTCCTTTAAAACGTTGTGCTAAAAAGATTAACGGATTAAGGAACATGAATTCTTATATTTTTCGTTAATATCTATTTACGAATTTTAATAAATATCCGTCTACTGCTAGAAATTCGAAAAAAATTGCTTCGAAAGATACATTGACTCGAGTGTAATACTATAAAATAGCCTTGATTTTATTGAATCCATTTTATATAGCGCTATAAGTAAACAATGTAGTGAAGCTAATGAAAAGCTAACTCCAAAATGGTAACAGACAGATATCACATGTTAGATGCATAATTATTTGTTTTTTCAATAGTTCGGTCATTAATAATGCATTACAGTATTGACATCTAATAAGAATTCAATAGGTAGGATTCAATATGCACCATCGATAAAATTCATTGCTTACGCTCTATGTTACATATAAGAATAAAATGAAAAATGATATACATTATTTAATATTAATTTTTCAAATACCATCTTGTGTAGATTAAAAAATAATTTAGACGATATATAATAACATAATTATCCAATACCTACATACATATATATATATATATATGAGCAGAAAAATATTTTACGACACAAGAAAAAGACCATTTATTTGATATATGTAATTGCTACATTTTATTTTTCAGTAAATTATCTCATTATATCGTTATATTTTGCAATCTTATATCAGCAACGCACAGTGTGTGTAGTGATTTACCCTTGCTATTACTATTTTAGTCGGGTTTTATTAATGAAGTTTAATAAGGACACGACAATTTTTCAAAATTAATTAATGAAAATATCGTCGAAATTGAATTTTTTAAAACAATATTTTATTATCGGACTACCTTTAAATGCACTGTGACAAAAGCCATATGCCTTTTCTTGTCATAAATATCTCGCTGGATAATTGCGAATACAAACTTCATTTCACCGCTTCGAAATAAAAATGAACTCTTGAATTTTTACATGTTTTCGTTATCAAAATGATCTCGTTATTTAAAAGCATAACATCTTATTAATATATACAAGTTTGCTTTTATCCAGTTAAATTTTTTGTAGAATGTTTATTATACTCTTTGTATAATATTCCCTTGTTCAATTAATACGATATCGTGTCGTAATGGAATAAGATTGGCACGTGCCCGGTTTCTGTCACTATTTCACGAGGTCACGTATTTCTTAAATTTCGCTCTGAAACGAAAAATGACCGCTTTTATAACGTTAACTATGATAGACGAGTTACAAGGAAGCTACGTTACAGTTACTTTAATTACAGGAAGCAACACAATTTTTACGAAAGTAGACCTCGGAGTCAACGTTGTTGTACCTCTTGTGAATCACTTCAATGTGTTCAAGTTAATTACATACCCTTTTTCGTTGGAAGCAAAAGTATACAACTGTAGAGGAAACAAAATACAGAATTAAAACGAAGACAGTCTCTAAATACATTAAAAGTACAAATTTGTATGTCCAGTTGTGAAAAGTTCGTATCAACCAATAGATATTAAGCGTAGGAGAGAAATGATATAATTCTTGAAACTAATTATAATCTAATAGATGCAAGCAATATATATGAAAAAGTGTTTGTAATGGGTAACATTGTACCGGCAATATTTCTTCCTAACATATTTAATTACAAATAAATAATTACAAACGAACTTAAAAGTAATCGACTATTCAATTGTTGTAATGTAATTGAATGTAACGTGTAGATCATGCTTTTATAGTGCGAGCTAAGAAACTATGGTGTTAGAACAGTCGCAATCCGTTTCACGCGATACGTACGATCAACGCAACAAAATTAAAATAATTTTGACATTAAAAACTGACAAATAACATATACGCGACAGCTTAAAAACCGAGTTCGATTATTATTCAACCAAACTGTTTGGTAGTATTCTACATGGTCATCGGTACAGGTGTAATGTAACCTCGACTTTATTTGTAGATCTCAAATACTACCTGCTTCCCGGTAATCTGAGTAATACCCGGTAACGACTCGCTCAATTTTACAAACAAATCTATATTTTTCCATGAAAAAAAAATTCTTTTTATATAACTATTATATTACTATTACTATATGTATACATGTACGTTGTACGTATGTATGTATGTATGTGCGTTGTTTATGCTATATCATATTTTTCACGCAGTCTTGTCTTGTTTGATTTTTGTCTGCGTTAAATCGTAAAGTCTCCTTCATCCTATCTGTAGTAGGATCGTATAGAGCACATTTAAGTATAAAGATCTTAAATCATCTTGCGTAACTTGTTTTGTATTCAGAAAGTCTATATTAATAATACATGTTTGTCATATTCTATTGATCTATCATAACTAATAGGTGAAAAGAAGCGATTCTTCAACGTCTGCTTGAAACTACATCGATGGATCTATGTTGTCTATTGCATATAACAAGAACAGCTTCTTAATCCAATTTCTATCGATAATGATGTTAGAAACAGAATTGTCTTCTTTCTATGCAGAAATTACGTAAATAATAATATTTTTACATTAATTGAACGAGGTACATATAAAAAATAAAATTTTATATTACAATGTCGGCATTATTTGATAACTAAATATCATTATTCCACTGAATGTTTTATATTAAAAGAATAAAAGAGCAAAGTAAATTGATCAATCCCTAACTATGAATTAATTGATCGATCAAACGATTAATCATTAGTAATTGGTTCAATGATCCTAGATCATTATTTTAAAATGTTTAACTTTATATAAATCAGACATAAACAAAGTTTATCGGTTATAGAAGGACCGACGATTAAACAATTTGATTAATATTTATAAAAACTAAAAGATAGTCGTTCGGGAAAGCGTCAACTTTGGTTGTTGCAAATCAAAATATTATCATTATGTATCTCGTGATTCTACATAACATATATATTAATAGAAATTTAAGATACGCAAGTAAAAGAAGAAAGTATAACACTATATTAAATAATTATTCTATGGCGATAACGTTACCATCAGTCGATAATTCGCAAATCGCAGCAACGTTTAACATATATACGTATTTAGGTTCTAATTCTTATTTTGTTATTATAGTCCCATTTTTGTTTCCCACTATATTTTATTTTTATAACAACTAA